CTCTTTCACCCCGAATGTCGAGAGATCTTTCGCCGGCAAACAGGTGTGAGGGCAGTTCGTGTAACTGCTGGTCTCTCCGATTGGGGACGAGGTCTCATCCAGCTCAGTCTTGATCATCGAATCACGATCTGATTTATTATTTGTTGTACCTTCGAGGGCACCAATCCTCGTAGCACTGGATATCGAAGTCGCGTCGCAGGGGTTCATCTTCCCTGTACGACAATGTCGGAGCAAGCTCTTTTGCTCCGAAAGTCTTGTAGAAAGCACTGACTCTACTATTAAATGTGGGTCTCTCGAGAGAGCTCTAGAAGCAAGGACAACTTCTTTACTAAATTTAGAAGTACGCCGCCACAATAACGTGTGTACTATTGCTTAGACAGACAATAAAGGTTCACAATTAACATATACAAGTTATTTACCATGAATAAGATTTGTTACACAATCGCTCTGTATCGCTTTCTTGTACCATGCACTCCCACTGTAAGCCTGCAAACGCCGGAAGTTGACGTTCGTTCGCTTTCTTGAGATCTCCATACTTTTGGCGGACCGGGCTTGAATTGTCCGCCAAAATTTCCGGCAAAAAGCGCTCGTTGTCGCTGTCGACGTCGGGACTCGTTCCCCTCTGGCCTCTCCGAATAGTCGATGTCGGCGTCGGGGATTTTGAAGTTTTTTCCCGGTTTGGGAAAAACTCTACCCGCTGTCTCGGCTTAGGCTACCGAGCATCGCATCCAACCGCCAGAGCGGTGGGACCTTCGGAAGACGGTCCTTTCGGCCCAAATACGGGGAAATTGGAAACATCGGTGAAATTTTCCCCGTCTTCGTAAAAGGGCTTACGGAGGTCTTATTACTGGATGGATTTTGTTGAGCAGTGGACTGATGATGCACGGCATGAAGTAGTGCCGTGGTTGGAGGATTCGGCCGAGATCGCGCAGACACTTTCGGCAGCAGCTATGAAGACGTGAAAACCTATTATGGCTTAGCTGGCCGTTAGTAGTCGCGCGATTCGGCTCGAATTTGGATATGTCAACGACCTAGGGATACTCTAGTGTGGTTGGAGGGTTCGGCCGAGATCGAATGAGCGGAACGGCTGAAAACGCGGAAAACGTGAAATCCGCGTTTCCCCGTATAACGGCGTTTTGGCTCATCCGATTCGGACGAAAATTTAGTAAGATAATGCTAGCGACTTGAGGAGTGCTGCATTAAATTTTGACACCGATCGCTCAATAACTTTTNGCAAACAGTATACATTTATTAGGTAAAAGAGAGTAATGAATGTCATTTATAAAGATCAAAAATAAGATTGGTCCCAAAATGGATCCCTGTGGTACACCATGGTTATTCACTTTAAATTCGGACACATTATTGTTAATTGTGACACACTGAGACCTGTCCATTAAGTATGACTTAAAAAAAACTAGTGGCAAACCCCTCACACCGTAATGCTCCAACTTAGCCAATAATAATTCGTGGGGGACACAGTCGAAGGCTTTTGTGAGGTCGCATAAAGCAATAGCCGTGTGTTCACCCTTTTCAAGTCCTCTGATAACGTCTTTCACAACCCCATGCACTGCATTGGTTGTAGACCGATTCGGTCTAAAACCAAATTGACTCGCACATAAAACGGAATTGTTTTCAAGGAAAGTATATAATCTCGCCTTCATTATGGCTTCAATCACCTTACCAAAAATTGGTATAATTGAGATTGGGCGATAATTATTTGTAAGATTTGGATCTCCTTGTTTGAACATTGGTAAAATCTTAGTCAGCTTAAAGCACTGGGGAAAAATACCCCTGTTGAAGCAAACATTTATTAGTGAAGTTAAAAATGGGAGTATTAATTCAATAGTTTCCTTAAGTATTTTCGAATTAATTTCAAAAACGTCAGTGCATGGGGAATCCTTCAGAGATTTAACTGCTTGTAATACTGTATCTTCCGATACAGGTTTTATAAAAAAAGAACTAGATGGAGAAGGTACTCGAGCAAACAACCTCTCAATTGATAAGTTGCTAGCTGGAATAGATTCTCTTAACGTATTAGCTATATTTGTAAAATATTCATTAAATTCAGTCGCGGATAATATGACCGGTTATTAAAATACAGATAAAACTATAATTCTTACTTTTACAAAAGTCATATCTGTTGTAAAAATATGACATTTATTTTAAATGCACAACATATACTCGTGTGATAATATAATACTAACGAAATTTTAGGAGATAGATGGATAGAAACAAACGGACCGATGAGATGGCCAGCTAGATTACCAGATTTGAGTCCGTTGGACTTTTTCCTTTGAGGTTTTCTAAAAGACATTATATTTAGAATTCCTTTTAATAATATTTCAAATACCTATACATTTAATGAATGCTACCTGAAGCGTTGCCAGAAGATGCGTGAAATGTGTGACAGTTGAGGGACGGCAATTTGAACATTTAGCTATCATNCCTAGCGATACTCTAGTGTGGTTGGAGGGTTCGGCCGAGATCGAATGAGCGGAACGGCTGAAAACGCGGAAAACGTGAAATCCGCGTTTCCCCGTATAACGGCGTTTTGGCTCATCCGATTCGGACGAAAATTTAGTAAGATAATGCTAGCGACTTGAGGAGTGCTGCATTAAATTTTGACACCGATCGCTCAATAACTTTTAGAGTTATTGACGATAGCGTCCTTGACCAATTCAAAAGTGTGGTAAAAATTCTGATGATAGTTTCCAAATATCGCCTCGAAGCGTCCCGGGGTTCGTCTGCAGGTTGCGAGAGTAGCGGCAATGGATACTACTAATGTCGTTCATTAGAGGTCAGTATAAGTAAACAATATATTTTTATTAAAAATTATTATATAACAATGTTATATAATATAATGTTTATAATAGCAATTTTGTTACATAAGTAACCATCTGAAAAATTGTGTGTATGTTTTATTAAATTTTCTTTAAATACTAAACTACTTAACATTATATTAATTTGTTTAATATTTAATCAGGATATGTAATAAAACTGTAAATATTTTAAAACGATAGTCTGCTCTTTTATTTTTGGTAAAACGTTCTAGGTAAAACCAAATCATGGATTGTAACAACAAAAATAACAAATCCAAGTATCATGTTGCACAATTCTATTATCTGATTTTAAAATCAATTATGGAATCGTTTTATATTTTAATTTTTATTCACACTGAAGTTGTTACATTTTATGACAAGTTTATTGATAGAAAATAGAATTTCAAGAGAATAATATTAAAAATTACACTACTTTTTAATCAGAAAGTTTGATTTAACAATATCCTATGTACAGTGTTTGAAGCCTAGCCAAGTTCTATAATTGTATTGAACTAATTCCTTCACACTACAATTAATGCAATAAATAATAATATGTATAATAAATTAATTACTTAAAAAATTACAGGAGATATTGGATTACTCGTTACGTTTTATAGTATGAAACTCATACTAACATACATATTTTTCATTCTATCAGATAGTCTACTTAAAATATAACGTTTTTACTGTATTTGATTTGTAACGAACTTGTACTTAATAATGGGGAAATACACTTCATTGAATATGTATAACTTCTTTGAAATTGATTCAGTGTTATTTTTGTTTAAAAGTTTTTAAATTTATAAATGAGATGTGTTGTGCATTCCATTTTCATATGGTGCTAGGGTAACTCGATATTATTGAAAGTAGAAAGTCAAGTTTTCCTGAACATTGACCATTTACTTTAAGATAAATTTTCACGTCCAAACAGTTTTTGAGTTATAGCCAAAAAATTAAAATTTTTATATTTTGTCATTCCTGTACCTGCTATAGTTGGTAATTTTTTTGAAATGTTGACAATATCTTGCAGTTTTTTTGTATAGAATCCAGAAACGCATTTAAATTTTTAATACTGGTGTTTGACATACAGAACAAAGTTGTATTTTTTTTTTTATGAAAACTGAGATGAAGTCCATAGTTGGGTCTATCTCAAAAGACCAGTTTTGTACATTAATACCCATTCCGCATGTAATATCTCTAAATTTATGACTTGCTAGTAGAATTAATTTTTTGATATAGAAATAATTTTTCTTTTTAAATAAATACATAATTATGTAGAAATATTTGAGTATTGTAGACATTATTTTATTTAATTTATTACTTACCTTTTAACAGAAATATTTGTATGTCTTAATGAACAGATTTCACCTAGGAGGAAAGTAAATAGTTTCTTTCATGTAACATTTAATACCTCACTTTGTTATTTAAAACTACTGTCACATTTGACATTTTAAAGTAAATAAAATAGGTTTTGAAATAAGTTGTATTGTTTAAGGTGTAATAACTAGAAAATCATTTTTCTTAATTTGAGGTTTTAGGTAAAAGTAAGTTTTGTTCTGTACGAGTTCATTTATGTATGTTTTTGTTTAGAGATCACGAAATATTTAATTGGAAATAAAACTAAACATTTTACAGCAATTACGAGAGAACACGAGCAGTGATAAATGTAATACTCGATTATAATATAGTTTCTAATATGTAACAGTTACGATTTATCAAATTATGATTGTGTTCTCATTCAAGTTTTTTATTGCTTTTGTACAACAAATATATTTTCATATAGATGTTATTTATGTTTTTAGACATTACATTTTTATATAGGTATTTTATACTTATCACAAATATAATGTTATAAAGTTGTAAAAGGAAATCTATTTAACTCTTTTATGCTTCATACAAAATGTAACTTGTTCAGCTGAATAATTAACTTAAATCCATGTAATACTTACAGTGTTTGGTAATGTGTTATTCATGCCACTAATAGCTTTAGTTCGAATCTACAAAAGCAGAAACTTTTTCAAAAAGTCTCGAGCTAATTTATTTAATGTTGTTTAGTTACTGTATAAGTCAATATCATCTCAAATAAAATATCTTAAATGATTTGACGATGTGATAATTGAGGTGTGATTATAAACGATTCAAATTTTACATGAGATAAATTCGAGTATAATTTCTTTTTAGAGAAAATTTAGCTAATGACACATACCTTTTGTCTCAAATGGACAACGATCAGTATGTGCCAATATGGACAGTGGCAAATTTCAATCAAGTAAAAAAGCTTACCAAAGACATTAAATTGATAACCGAGGTATTAAGGGAATCACCGAATGTTCAAGTCGATGAAGAAGGTGTCAAAGTGCGACCAAATCATAAGAGATGTATTGTAATTTTGCGAGAGATTCCAGATAATACGCCAATAGAGGAGGTTAAGGTGAGTAAGTCTAATATTGTATTATTATTTATGTCAAATTTGATCAGTTTGGATGATTCCAATTTAGAGTTGCTTATTTGATCCATGTGTTGTTTTTCTGTATGCTGATCACTTAATTCCTGCTTGCTTTTTATAGTAGCTATATAACAATTTAAGAAAGTACACAAAAATATATACAGGGTGATTAATTAACAATGGGAAAGTCGAAAGCTGAAGATACTACACGTGAAATGGTGACCATTGGCGCAAACATGCCTTATCCGAAAGTTGATCGTTTCGGAAATACAGAGTGTTTTGCGATTATTCTAAAAATATGTAGGTTAGGAACTTGAAAATTTGTGAAACTATATTTTTTTAGGCGACGAATAAGATGCGTGTTGTAATTTCAGCATTGCTCATAGAGGGCGCCACTTACGACCAATTTTACCGAAAATTTAGTTAATAACTTTTTACCCTGTATATTTAACATGAAACTTGATTCAAAACCTGAAAGAGCTATCATTTTTCCATTAATTATGTACTCTTGTTTCATTTCGGTATCTCGATCCGTTTTCGAGAAAAATCGATTTAACGAACACTATGTTTTGATAATATGAGAAATTAAAAGCGAAACAAACCAAGTGTTTCTTCGTGTTATTACAACAATTAACAATAAAACAAATAAAATACGTAATTATGATTTAAAGTAATTGTTCGAAGAATCCACCGTTGACACTGATACACTTTACACGTTTTCTGAGAGATCTTCGAGTTTGAAACAACATATTGGGATTGCGTCTGACTTCGTTGGCAGCGATTTGTATTCTTTGCCACAACTCTTCACACGAGCCAATAGATTCTTTGTAAACTATATCTTTCATTCGAGACCAAATAGAAAAATCAAGAGGATTGAAGTCCGGACTTCTGGATGGCCAAGCAAAAATGCTTACATGGCCAATCCAGCGATTTGGAAAAACTGCATCTAAATATGCACGCACTGGCCAAGAAAAATGCGGTGGAGCTCCGTCGTGCATGAACCACATGTCTCTTCTTAAATAAAGTGGAACTTCTTCAAGCCGTGGAAGCATTTTTACTTGGCCACCCAGAAGTCCGGACTTCAATCCTCTTCATTTTTCTATTTGGAAGAATCTATTGGTTCGTGTGAAGAGTTGTGGCAAAGAATACAAATCGCTGCCAACGAAGTCAAACGCAATCCCAATATGTTGTTTCAAACTCGAAGATCTCTCAGAAAACGTTGTGTAAAGTGTGTAAATGTCAACGGTGGATTCTTCGAACACTGACTTTAAATCATTATTACGAATTTCATTTGTTTTATTGTTAATTGTTGTAATAACACGAAGAAACACTTGGTTTGTTTCGCTTTTAATTTCTCGTATTATCAAAACATAGTGTTCGTTAAATCGATTTTTCTCGAAAACGGATCGAGATACCGAAATGAAACAAGAATACACAATTAATGGAAAAATGATTGCTCTTTCAGGTTTTGAATCAAGTTTCATGTTAGACATACAGGGTAAAAAGTTATTAACTAAATTTTCGGTAAAATTGGTCGTAAGTGGCGCCCTCTATGAGCAATGCTGAAATTACAACACGCATCTTATTCGTCGCCTAAAAAAATATAGTTTCACAAATTTTCAAGTTCCTAACCTACATATTTTCAGAATAATCGCAAAAAAACGATTTAAAATTTTAACTTTCAACACCCTGTATTTCCGAAACTATCAACTTTCGGATAAGGCATGTTGGCGCCAATGGTCACCATTTCACGTGTAGTATCTTCAGCTTTCGACTTTCCCATTGTTAATGAATCACCCTGTATGCATGTTTTTGTAAATTTAGATATCTAGATCTTCATATAATAATAAGGAAGTGTATATGTTTGTAATCCAAATTTATGTTATGTGCATACACTGTTTGTAGGATTGAAACAAATCTTAATTTAAATTCAATTTTGTTAGGATATTTCTGAGATAAATAAAAACAGGTTCACTCATCATCAGTGTTACTGTTAATTTCTGATTATTTTTTAGAATCTGTTTGCTGGTGAAAATTGCCCTCGGTTTATATCGTGCGAATTTGCCCATAATAGTTCGTGGTACGTTACATTTGAATCGGACGAAGATGCCCAGAGGGCTTATAGGTATTTAAGGGAGGAGGTGAGAGAATTTCAGGGGAAGCCTATCATGGCTAGAATAAAGGCCAAACCGATGAATCGGCTACCTATACCTCCAGTAACCGGTGTTAAGAACGGTTTCAGAGCTACTCCCCCTCCTACGGCCGTATATGACCCGGCAGCTTTTCCTCCTGGTCAGCAAAGGTTTATTTACACAAATGGTACTCCAGGACAGCCTGTTCCTGCATATAACCAAGTGCATGTTTATGTGAGTATATAAATTATAATATAAAAACAAAAAAATACATATTTAAATTTGCAAACTAAGTTAAGTTTTTAATAAAACAAATAAAATACTAATTTTTTTTCTCTGTGAAAAAGTTGTAAAATCACTTTATTGTCATATATATCATATTGTGTGTTATTTATTCTAGATATGACTTTCATGCACAAACAACAATATTAATATTTAATACAATAGTCCCTAACAATAACATATTTTTACTGGGGAAATACCACCTTGTTATAAAAATAAATACATTCACAAACATTGAAACATTATTTTAAAAGTATTGCACTGCTGTAGGTACTGCTATTGTACATTGTTACTAGGTGGATAGAATTTAAAGTCATTGTTAATTATATTCCTTTTCGAAATGAATCTAGTCATAGTCTCAACACTTTTTGTGCTCTTTTAAAAATTTCATTTTTTTTAAGTTTTGTGTTTTCTATACAGGGTGTTCCTAAATAAGTGTCGCAACGGAACACTGTAAATTCCTCTTGAAAAAAGAAACATTCTTTTCCTCTTCCATTTTTTTCTCTGGGCTTTCGTTTTCAAGATACACGGTGTCAAAACTTTAATTTTTTTTTTAATTTTTTGCCAATATCTTAGGAACCATTTGAACTACAGGACTGAGTTTTTGTACGCGCATTACCACTATTAATAGCTACTTTTTCGCACCCTTCTCGAATTCATTGAACGTGCCAGTGGTGGAGATTTTAAGATATCGTAAGGGTTTCCCCCCTAACTTTTACGCCACTGGAAAAATTGACATTTGACAGCAAATTCTGAAGCGCCAATGAATTTTACACAAAAAGAGTTCTCTTGGTTCATTGCTCTAAAGTCAACTGTTTTCAAGAAAAATGACTTTTTATGAACAA